CCCCCCCCCCCCTTATCATGATGTCACAAACATTTGCTCATGCAATTAAGAGGTACCATTTTAAATAGCCTTATGATAGTCTATCATATGGATATATCATGCTTTTATAAATATTCCCTTATTTGGATTTTCTTTCTTTTTCTGTTTCAAGGACTAACGCTATGGTGAGCATCTATGTACATGAATCTTTGCCTGAGATAACAATATTGTGGCCTTTTCCAGAGTACCACAGGGGCTGGTTTTCAGGGCTGGCGGAGGAGGCCTAATAATGTGTATGATACAGTAAAGGCTGGACTCTTCAGACTAGAACCTAAGCTCTTAGTTATTTTTGCAAGGCCAGGGGACTTAAAATAGCCTTCCTGCTGGAAGGTGGTTAAGTTGAATTAGATCTGCATTAGCTAGTAAACTGAATCCAGTTATAGATGACCCTGACCACAAGCAACAGCCAGGTCTATTTTAAGCCATATTACTAAGTGGAACAGGTGGTTGAAGGAATGTGTAAGGAGTAGATTTCCCCTGGTTTAGATAAATCAAATAGACAGAATCAGAGATGACCATCCCAGCAAACTGAGATACTCTGAAGTCATTCTCCCAGCAACTAAGTGGCCGTTTCTTCAGTGGGAAACAAGTAACTAAACTTTATTAAAATTGAGTTACTTCGTGTCACAGGACAAAAGGCATACTTCCGGGAACGTCACTTGCTACAATCCTAGGCCTGCCGAAGGGCCACTGGAAAAAAAGGCATCAACACAGTAGCACCATATACCATACAAAAAAAAAAAAAAGTTTGCAAATTTATGTTTTTAAGTCTGATCATATGAGCCATGCCTTACCATACTTTTGTGATCCGGCAAAGAAAGAACGTGTAAGAACAAAGGGTCTCTCCTTCCCTTTAGATCGCTGTATCAGTCCTTCTGCAGTAGCCATTTGCTACAAAGGCAAAGGAGAAAACTTTCAAAGGGATGATTAGATTAGAGCCTTGTGCAAACATCCTAATAAGCTATTAGACATGCAAAAGTAAATAGGTGGGAATATAAATGGAAAATATTAAAATAAATCTATCAAATAATTTTCATAATGCAATAAAACTACTCTAAATTCCCATATTAAGAGTGGAAGATTTTCTTTGATTAAAATAGCAATGGAATAATAGTAAATAATAAGCTAGAATTATTCAGTGCTTACTATTGTTAGGCATTTTATAAGATTTTCTCTTATAATCTACAGAACACCCTCTGAGACAGAGCATTTTCAATGATGGAAAAAAATGAGATTCAAAGAGGTTGTTAAGTGACTGGCCCTGGCCAACATAAGAAAATTCTCTAAAGTAGTTTGCAGTTATAGCAAGAGGCTTTTAAAGAAGTAAACACATAATCTGAACTGTGCTATATATAGACAGCAACTCCCACTAGAAAATACCAATTGATGGGAGAGCCATAGGAACACAGGATGAAAATAACAAAGAACTACGGATATCAGTAGGGGCAAATGACTGACATATGTTTTGGATGTGATTGGCAAATGGAAGACAATTCTACCACCTTCTAATGAAAAGGCTAAGTAGTTAATTAAGGCTTTCTGCATTTAAAGACTTACTGAAATTGTATATCTATGTTCTAAATCTTGTTCCCCTGGTATGAATATAAGATTTATGAAATTTCAAAACATTTGTTTTAATTGCCTTTGTTTATGTATTTACACATTGCCTACCCTACTTCAAAAAAAAGTCTTTAAGTATTCAATGTCATTTACTAATGACTCCTGCCAAAGAAGATGTTTCTATGTTATCGTTAATCTCATATATCTAAATAATTCATCAAGTTTATTATAGAAAGAAAGGTGCAAAGGGAGAAATAGTAAGTCCTTTATTGGCTACAACTTGATAAGACCCACAAAGAGAAATGAACAATATAATATGGCTATTACAAATGACTTTCAACCCAAAAGTCAGGGCATTTGGGTCCAGGTGACTTCTCTATGGATGTCTTACCTGATAAAAACCATAGATGTTGTGAAGTTCCCTGTGCTCCCAATTGCCATGATGAATGGCATTCTTCTGCATGGTTAGCTCTGGTCCTCTAAAGACAGAGGGCTCATTCATGTCGTTCCATATGTAGAGGATGTCAGTAGATCCCTAAGAAGTAAATTTCTTCCTCAGCCATGATAATACTCCTATAGTGATGATGTTAATATGATAGCCACCCTATTCCTCTTTCATACTCTATTTAATTATTTATTATGTTTATTATCTATGCTCTGTCTTCTGTTCCAATGCTACAATAAATGGTCCACAAGGTGGGGAATTTTATCAGTCTTGCTCATAAACACCTGGAACAGTACCTGAACCACAGAAGGTTCCCAATAAGTATTTGCTGATAAATGAAAGAATACTGTGCTGTATTGTATATGAAATACTGCCCAGCAAGTACACTTCAAGACCTACCCTGGAGAACCCCTATAGGAAAGGTTGTGTGAGTGTTCAAGGTTAGGTCCTATAACATCCATTATCTGCTGCAACCT